ACAGGAAGTCATAGAATTTATAAAACAGCAGTTAGAACTATACAATAAAAAGGGTGAATTTTATGGAATGTAAATCATACCTCAATAAACTTAACTGAAGAGGAATGAGTAGGAGGAAGGGGGAGGAAATTACAGCATTACAGTCAGGATCAAAGTCTGCTGCCCCTCCCGCTACTCAGCTTCCACCTGAAGACCCCATGCCATGCAATATAATAAGAAAAATAAATAAGCAGTGTGAAAATTGGCAGGGATATAGCTTTTAAGATTTGCAAACAATATAACTCTCTACCTAGAAAACCCAAGAGAGCAACTGTTAGAACTAATAAGAAAATTCAGCCAAGTTGCAAGATTGCAAAGACAAATGTTTCGAATATGTAGCAAACAAATAATTTACATCCAGAATATATGTAAAGAACTCCTAAAAGTCAATAAGAAAAACAAATAATCTAATAGAAGATTAGCAAAAAGCATGCTTGAAAAATTCAATAAAACAGAAAATAGGATTGGCCAACACATTTATGAAAAGTTGATCCATCTCACTAGCAATCAAATAAGGAAAAAAAAAAGAAAATATAGTTACCCACCAATCAGGTAAAATTTTAAAGTTTGTTAATATCAAGTGTGGTAACACTGTGGGAGAATGGATGAAAAAAATCCACAGTTGGCATGAATATGAATTTGCATATTTTTTTTGAAAACTGTTTAGCCGTATCTATTATAATCTTAAATCTTAACCTATGTAGCATTGCTTAACTGATGAAAAATTCCAAAGTAAAGAATATTATAGTAAAGGTAAAAAGAATGAGTTGAATCTATGTATATTCATATTAAAAACTCTCAAAGATCAGGTGTTAAATGAAAGAACAAGTGTATCTGGGGCACTAACCTCTAATAAGATCCCTCTCTGGAGATACAATTTACAATTTATAAACTCTGAAGTGAGGTCTGCAAATGCTAAGGGAGACTGGTTTTGTTTGTTTTGCTTTGTTTTATAATAAGAATGTGTTCAAAAAATAAAGAGGATATTTGTACACCAATGTTCATAACAGTGTTATTCACAATAGCCAAAACGTAGAAACGTGCATCAAAGATATGGGATGACAAGGATGTGGTATATCCATACAATGGAATATTATACAGCCTATAAAAGGATGGAAATCCTATCACAGGATATAACATGGATGAACTTCAAAGACATCACGCTAAGTGAAACGAGCCATACATAAAAAGTCAAATACTACAGGATTCTACTTATGAGGGAGCTAGAGTGGTCAAGTGCATAGGAACAGAATGTAAAATGGTGGTTACCAGACACCTGGGGGAGAGGGGGGTGATGGGTTGTCATTAATAACTTCAGTTTGGGGTGAAGAAAAAGTTCTAGAAATGGACAGTGGTGGTGGCTACACAACAATATAAATGTACTCAATGCCATACAATTTAAAAATATTAAAAATAACAAGAGAAACAATTGAATAATAATAATAATAAATGAGGCAACTGAACTGGGGCTAAAAGATTCCTTTCCATTAAAATACTGGGCAACATATTACCAAAAATGTAAATATATAACCAAGCTCAAAATAAAGACTGGCTGAAACAAAGAGAGACTTACAATTCAGAGATGACAACAGAAGCTGACATAGAGGAGACACAGGGAGACTCAGACAGCGAGAGACCCTAGGACTAGAGGTTGAAAACGATGTTGTTAACCATGGACCGAGAGGAGCTGCAGTGGCACTGCCTGGACAGTGGGGCGCCTTAAAGGACTCCTCCACCCAAAAAGGAACTTGAAAGAAATCTCCTTTGGGGAAACAGCAAAGAAACCATTCACAGACAGTGAGAAAGAAAAAAGTCACACATGAGTAATTAAAACCCTAAGCCTGTGCCACAGACGGGTGTGGGGGTCTAAATTTATACCACTTGTGGAGACTGGAAACACTAAACTGTGAATTTAGCATATGAAATGTCCAAGATTAGTGAAACACCAGGCCCAGCAGAAATACAAGACCAGTCTCTATCAGGACATTCACAACCTAGAGGTCCAAGATTCCCATAGAAAAAAGAGCAAGGCAAGGGGAGTACCCAAGATGAGTGCACAATAAAAAATAAAGAAACAAAACACGAGGTGCAGTGAGTACATGAGGGCACACACACACCCGGATTAGCACCCACAGACGTGGAGATGACAGATCGGTCTAAGAGCCTGTGCAACATATGCTCTAAGTGACTGAGAAGATCAAGACAGAATATAGGACATAAGTAAGTTTCAGAGAAGGAAGCTCAGCTTCCGTGGGCACTTGGAGAGCGTGAAGTCTTGGCCATCCAGGTGGAGGTAAGGAGGCTACTGGAGCCCAGGAGAGCAGCTTCTGCTGCCATTGCACTTGGAGGTCGACCTGGGGGGGGGGGTCAGTGTGGCTGGCACGGGGGTGAAGCATGAGACCTGGTCTCTGGAGTGAGTCCCACATTGAAGGGTAGGTATTTAAAGGAGGCAGGAGTAGAGCTGGATCGGTAACACCAATTTCAAATGCAGCCTTTTCCAGGAAGCATTTTCAGAACTTCCTCTCCCTAAAATAGTCTCCAGCACCCCTCTCCTAAGACCTCTACTCAGCCTGTCTTATTCCAAGGTAATCTCGGCTGTGACTGTGCCCTAAAGGGTGGCAGCGCCAGCCTGCTCATCTGTACTGCCTCCACATCTAGCACAGCCTGAGGCCCAGAGTGGCTCCAGAAATGATTGTGGAAATGGATGCAATTAATGTGTGTGTTCTGTCGTTTCATGGGAATCATATTTTGAATCCACAGAGGAAGGAGATTCAGGAGTTGGAAACAGCTGGTTTCCTCTCTCCTGCTCCATCTTCTCTCTCTCCTCCTGCTCCCCATGCTGTACTGGGAGAGACAGCATCAACACCAGGAAGCGGTTGCTAGAGCTGTGCTTGTGCAATAGCTTCCATTCTTCTGTCATCTTCCCTCATTATGATGAGCTGTTACTGGATGCACTGTGCAAGTGTTAGCTCATTGAATCCCCACAACTTTTGTGTTAAGCCTCACTGTGCAGATGATGAAACTGAGGTTCTGAGAAATGACTTCCCCTGGTCATGAAGCTCCAGAATGGCAGGACCAAGGTCCACATCCAGACTTCTTGGGCCCCAAAGTCACTGTTTCACCCTCTCCTGTCCATCTCCCTCTGGTTCCTTCTCCACAGCCACTGCCCTCCTCTCCTAGCTCACACTGTGTCTCCCTCATCCCCTCCTTAGCTCACTGTGTCTGAGTCACACAATTCTTTGGCAGGCAGTGGGGATGGGGGGGGGGGGACAGGGATGTCCAGATGGGTGGTGAGCCTGGATTTGTCTTTTTGTGGCTACCAAGCACTGTCCTAGGGCAAGACCTGAAATCTATGAGCCCCTCTGGGCCCCCTACAGGGTCCTGGAAGAAGAAGCACAGACAAGGGGTCCATCTGCAAATGTGTGACTGGAAAGACAGGAAAATTGTCTCTGGAGTGGCTTTGGGGGCCAGATTCAGAGTCTTCCCTTCCTGTGACTATGGTAGCTCAGAGAACCCTTTCCTTTAAGATCCTGAGTTTCTTACACCTGACAATGCAGGGGCTCAGAACTATACCTCGCCTCAGTTGAGCACAAGCATAGGAGAGGAGGCCCTGGTCTGGGAGCAGGGAGACTGGAGATCAGAGCATGATGCCGTCAGTAATTTTGAGGATCTTGGGAAAGATGCAGCTTCTCTAAGCCTTGGGTTCCTTGCTTGTAAAATAGAACAGCCATCCCAAGCCCATTTATTCCTGAGGATGGATGTTCTGGCATAGGAAGGGTTCTGAATCAAGGCGGCAAGGGTGAGGGGTGAGAAAAGGAGCAGATGCCAACACCAAGATGGTCATTCTTTTGGGCTGAGCCAGGACCCTCTCACTGAAAAACTCCTGATAGGATGACCTTATCCAGTCATCCTATCTAACTGAGAAATAATGGGGCCAGGAGAGAAAGAAAAAGGGTAGATGAAGGGAAGTAGGAGGAGTGATACATGAGGTGGGGAGGTGACAATGAAAAACCGACCTAAGGATAACAGGTGCAGAGGTTAACACCCTGAATCCTAGATAGTGTTCCAGCCCCAACTCTGTTCTTCATTCCAGAATGACCTCAATCCAATACGGCCTCTTTCTGAGCCTCATTTCCCCCATATGTCATCTCAGACATTTATGACCTCCTCAGTGACATCCTCCACTTTCAAAGCCTAGATCCATAGCTCCATTGTCAGGAAACCATCCTTGAGTCAGCCTCTCCTGCCTCCCTCTAAAAGCCCTGCCTCTCCATTCTAGGTCCAAAAACTTTCCACCCAAGCCTGGCCCCTATGTCCTGACTTATACTATGTCACAGATCACAAGGTAGAGTCCACAGCTGAATTATTGTCAGTCCCTCCAACCAAGCAGTATTACACAATAGTTGTCCAAATAATGTTCTGTTAGAGATGCAAAATGTTCACATGAACAGACAGATGCATGCCTAAAGGATAAGTTTGATTTTTGTGCTGACTATGCTCCTGCTCAAAACTCACCTCCATAAAAAGTGTCCTGGATTAATCCCCAGGCACATCTCCCCTCCAGCTATTCAGACAAAGGAAGTTATAATTCTCCACTGCTGCCCCTCTCCCCTGTCCCTTCTGGAAAGATCCTCCAGTTGCAACTCTACTCTGACTTACAGATTCCAACACTATAGGCTTTGTAAACCAAAGAACTTGGACTCCCATGCTTCCCCATCCTATGACCAAGGGAGCTCTGTTGAATTACTTTGGAGTCATCTACTACAGAAATTCCCCACAGAAGTGCCCCTGGGGTTCCTGTGGGTAACAGAGTTTAGGGTCACAGATTCAGGTTAAGAGAGGTGGCCAGACAGATAGATGATTTGAAAGAAGAACCAAGTCCTATTCCCAAATTTCCAGCACTTGAACCCACTCTGTAACATGCATGTGTACACATCCCGGTTATAACAAAAGAATCTCACCTTGATGTTCCTCCAGCTTCCCCATGGTCTCAATCTGCTCCACCAGGTCATTTGAATTCCACTGGCTCATCCCAATGAGGATGGCGTTCTTCCCCTCAGCCATCTCCTCTGTTGGCAAAAGAAGAGATTGACATGAGCAGGCAGGACTGGGTGTAGGTAACCCTAACAGGAAATTCTATCTGAAAGAGTACTTATTTCTTCCTTTGAATTGACAGTACTATAGTTATAGACAGCTAGGAGGCATTCAGGAATTTTTCACTATAAGAAGTCACAGTTATTGCACCCTAATGGACCCCTACATGTTATCACAAAAAGGGAACAGCCGTGAGAGAGGCTGAAAACCCAAAGAAGACTCCACATTTAGCACTAACAGCAGTATTTATTGAAAGTCAGTGTGTTGGGAAGAAAAATCAAAACCTTCCATTTGCTAGCAGTTGTTTTTGGGTTTTTTTGGGGTTTTTTTGCAGGGAGGTGTGGGGATTAAGAGGACTGAACCTGTTTTTCCATCAGTAAAATGGTACTGACAATGTCTAACTCACAGATTTGTTGGAAAGACTAAAGGTATAATAGGTATAGAGGTCTTGGTGCACAGGGGGTGCTCCTGGATGAGAAACAGAATGGTTATTTCTTCATAAGAAGTGAGTTGCCATCAGTATTTGAAAGGAAGGATTTGAGGGGCACAGGAGCAACTCTAGAATAACCAGGAGAACAAAAGCCTGTGCCTCTCAGCAAGCCTTAAACTTGTGGAACCCTTACCCCATGTCTAAGTTTTATGAGCCTCTTAATGCCTCCCTCACTCCTCCCTCAACCCTGTCTCTAGTCTTCCCCTTTCCCAGCATGAGCTTAGTGATTACTCTTGGAGGAACTGGTCAGGCCATATTCCCTAACCACCCTTAACACAAACCCTTGGGTACCTAAACACCAACTCCATGCACCTGGTACAATCCTTCATCCAAGCAAGGGATAGCTCCTGAAAGCAACCTACAGGAATGCCTCCCTTTCTGGTGAAAACTACATCCCATAAAAAACCTCCTGGATTAATTCCAACCACATTGTTTTAAAAGAGATAGGACTTCCTGGTGAATAGTATGGTGTTCTCCCTCATAAAACAGACATTAAATGGTACTGGGGAGAGTCCTCAAGCTCATGATAGCCAAGAATAAAGAAATGAGACTCATTTCACTGCCAAAGAACTTTACAGAGCAGATGGAACCAATATGGTGGATCTGAAGCTAGGGGAGCTGTCCAGAGTCCTGAATCACTCTTGCGCTCAATAACGCAGACCTCCTCCTGTCTTATTTATCTGATTTATTGAACAATATTTATCAAATCTTTAGTACACGCTGAGATTGTTATGGGTGATTTAAAAATATTAATTCACTTAGTTCTCATAACAATACTTAAAAGGTACAATGGCTATTATTTCCATATTATAATCAAGGAAACTGAAGCATGGGAAGTTCAGCAACTTGCCTAAGGTCACTGGCTAGAGCCAGAATTTAAAGCCAGATACACTATTGTAGAAGTCTCTAGGTTCTGTCTTCCTGATGGTCTGCCCTGGACATCCTGGATTGGCTGCCCAGTGCTCCAGCCAGGCACCACACACACCCACACAATTTCCTGAGCACAATGTGCTCCATCTGGGCACTGGTTCATGGCCCTAGGCAGCACTGTGGTCTGGAAAGAGGCCCGAATGGATTCCAATACATACTCTGCAACATGTGAACCTGTGCTTTTGCCATGCCCCTCAACTATTTCTGCTTCCTTTTCTTTTAAATGGGAATAACAATGATGGTTCTACAGCTCTTTCAGCAAGTGGTTATAAGGGGAAATGCTACTGTAAATTTGAAAAAAATACACATGCCAAAATGTCAGGCAGTATTGCTCTTGGGAAAGCAGGACCGGGAAGGGATAAAGAGCTCAGTTGTCTGCTCTCAATCCCAGATCCGCCATCTGCTAGCTCTCTGACCTTGGACAGTAACCTCAGCTTTGTGAGCTCCTGTTTCCTCATCTATAATATGCTATCATAGTAGTGCCTATGTTATCGGGTTGCTGTAAGGATTGTAAGGATTAGATGAAATAATGCAGGTGAAGTGTTCGCAAGCACATCTAGCACACAGTAAGAGCACAGATGGGGATAACAGCACAGACAACACCCTCACCACCACCCAAGGAGCTTGTGCTGCTCTGCCCAACACTTTTCCTGGTTATACGGATGACCCTCTGTCTTTCCCTCTTGGCCTTGTGTCTGTCTTCCTAGCAAATACATCTTCCTCTCTCAGACTCTCACGCATTCCTCTCACACGTCAAGTCCAGCCCACTCTCACTAGATCTGACCTGGTTAGATCCCTTTCTGTTTATCTGTCTCTCTTGGTGCTTGTATTTCTGCCCCTGGAGCACAGGGGGTGCTCATGGATGAGAAACAGCATGGTTATTCCTTCACAAGAAGTGAGTTGCCATCAGTATTTGAAAGGACCAGGATTTGAGGGGCACAGGAGCAACTCTAGAATAACCAGGAGAACAAAAGCCTGTGCCTCTCAGCAAGCCTTAAACTTGTGGAACCCTTAGCCCATGTCTCAGCTTTATGAGCCTCTTAATGCCCCCTCACTCCTCACTCAACCCTGTTTCTAATCTTCCCCTTTCCCAGCATGAGCTTAGTGATTACTCTTGGGGGAACTGGTGGGGCCACATTCCCTAACCACCCTTAACACGAACCCTTGGGTACCTACACACCAACTCCATGCACCTGGTGCAATCCTTCATCCCAGAGAGGGATAGCTCCTGAAAGCAACCCACAGGAATGCCTCCCTTTCTGGTGAAAACTACATCCCAGAAAAAGCCTCCTGGATTAATTCCAACCACATTGTTTTAAAAGAGATAGGCCTTCCTGATGAACAGGAAGGTCTCATGCACACCCCCAACTCTGGCTCTCTCCCTATCCCAGTATCTATCTCTCCTCCTCTCTTCGTAGGTATGTTTCTGTCTTAACCTTTGTCACTCTCTGGGTTCCTTTCCATTCTTTCTCTAGGTCCTTCAGAATCTCTCCACCCACGCAGCTCTTTCATCCTCTTTCTGGCCTTTCCCTCTCCTCCTGGGTCACTGTCTCCTTCAACTCTCTCTGATTCTCATTCTCTCTCTCTCTCTCTCTCTCTCTCTCTCTCTCTCTCTCTCTCTCTCTCTCTGTCGCTTGTGTGTGTGTCCATGTTCCTCTCTCCCATTCTCTGAATCTCTCTTGCTCTCTCCCCTCTGCTTTCTTGTATTTTTCCTGGCTTTCTTGGGCTTTCTGCCCCCCACCCTCTCTCTGTCTCCCCATCTTCTCCCTGATTCCCTCTCCTCAGACATGCTTTCTCTCTGTCCTTGGGTCTCTCCTGCCTCTGCTCTCAACATGCAGTCTTCATATCTTCATTCTGGCAACGATGGACTTGTCCCCTAAGGGGCTTTGAGAACACACACACACTGCACAAACCACACCACACCACACACACACACACACACAGAGAGAGAGAGAGGCAGCAGCTGAGATAGCTCCTTTTGTAGTTATCTGGGCAAACAGGGGAGTACATGGCTCTGCTCTGAATCTCTGCTCTACTTCCCCTCACTGTGGTATGTGCCTCCCAGCAGGGCTCAGAGGCCACAAAGGGCTCATTTCATCCTGGTTATTGATTTTGCTTTTTGTCTTCTGATGACTGTTCTTGGCATGCTAATTCTCCTCTCCAGTGACCTCTGGTGCAGACTAGCTTTTGCATCTATTTCACCCTCACTGGGCTCCATTCCCTACCCACATTGGGCACCGGGCCAAGCCTCACCCACAGCATCATAAGCCTTGAACCCAGACTGACTCTGACTCTGGTCAAAGCCTTGACACACCCTTTTCAGCACAACCTCAGAGGCCATTAAAAAAGCCTTTCCCCCCACCCAGAGGCCTTTGTTTCTGCTGACTCTACAGGACTCTCGAGCAGGGAGCCTCCTTGTCCTCTGGCAGGAAGGCTTTACCACCTGCTCACAGAGCTAAGAGCTTGGTCACCCTCCCTAGTCAGCCAGGCCAATGCCACCCGTCACCCCCACATCAGGTCCATGACACCCATCTCTCCAAGGACCTAAATATGCCTTACCCTTTGGCCTCTGGGATACAGGATTGCTAACTGCCTCCACACGGTTATCACCTCCATCTCACAACCAATGGCCACCACTACCACACTCCTCATCACATGGAGAGGTCCACTCTTGGCCCACCCTTGGAAGACTTCGGAGCCAGCTCCATGGCATTTGCTTTCCCACTTCCCTTCCCCCAGTGTTAGGGCGTGCCGGGGTCAGCAACACAAGTGTGTTTGCCTCAGGGAGGACTCTTTTGCCCAGCTTCACACAGTGACATCCTCCCGCTCCACTCTTACCCCTGTCACTTTACAGGAAGGGGCCTGAGTTGCAGGGGTGAAAGGCTTGTCTGAAGTCAGCCAGCAGCAGGTCAGCAGTCCAGTCCTGATGAGAAGCTGCATCTGCTGACCCAGACACCATGCTCTGTTTTCCTTCACTCAGTCCTTCATCTAGGAGAATCCCTCCTCCTCCTCCCGCCCCCAGAAGTGGGGCGCCCCATGCTTTGCTCTCTGTCAATTACCTAGAGTTAGATTTGCTGGGAAAGTAACCCTGGCTACACCCCCATGCCCACCCCTCCCCAATTTCACCCCCAGCTCTGCCAGTGTTGCCACCCTGCAACCTCCAGGGCCTGGCTGGCTTACGTATACTCATGGAGGGTAGAGAGGGTGCTATTTAGAGGCTGAAGGAAAATTCAAAAGCAAATATTCCCCATCGAAGTGAGACACTAGCTAATAGGGCTTTGCAAGGCCAGCTAAGAACTTCGTGGCATAGTTAGAGATTTTGAGGTGAAGTCTAGCACCCTATTTTCCAGATGCAGAGTTGCACAAATGGGCCAGGGTCCCACAGCACCTAAGGGGCAAGGCCGCCTGCTGGCTCAGGGTGCTATCTTCCAGCAGACAAGTTCACTGTAAGAGCCCGTGTCTGTGCCTAAATGCTTGGTGGGTTTTAAGACTCCTTTAATTGGACTAGTCACTGCATCTAAGCAGAAGGTGAAAGTTAAGGATGTGCCTCAATAT